GTGTTTGTCACGTTTCCGGATGTGAATGGAAACGGGACCCTGTCTCGTTTTGGACAACAGATTATCGCGAGCATGAGGAACGGATACGTTCGACTAAGACGATCTGTTTGTGATACTCGATCGGTAAGATTCCTCTTTTCAGAGTTCATTTCGAATTTCATTGATGTTTTCGTGGTTAATTTGTCGTTACAGGTAATTGGAAAATTTTGCGTTTTATAATAATTTTGACTGCTGGTTCAAATATCGAATGTGAATCTTTCAACGGGTAGAGAATTTATTAGAAATGTTGGAATTGTTGCAAAATGAGATGTAGATTGAATATCAAAATGATAATTTACTATTTCAGACTGATGTTTCGCTGATTAATCTGTCACTGAAGATATTTGAATAATTTTGCGTTTCGTGATATTAATTTACGTTTGAAGAGAGTTGCACATTTAAATGAAGAGAGAGAATGCTTAGGTTCAGATTGAACCTTTAAATGATTTTCGTTCCTTGAATGGTGTGATTGGTTTAAATATCAGAAATGGATCTATCAATGAAACAGGGGTTTGTTGGAAATATATTAAACTGAATCTTTAAAAAAGCAATTTTAAATCATTTTATATAAATTAAGAGATAAATTAAAAACGAATTTGATATGATTCGAATTTCATAATTTTATAATATTTAACTTACACATCTAGTATCATCTATACACGTGTATATATTCGTAAATAAGTTTGTAATTTTAAAATTTCTTTAATTTTAATATATCTCGGCTCTTGAAACAATCTTCTGTATCAATTATGCTATTACTATTCACGAGTATTTGATTTCTTAACAAAAATATTTCACAGTAGAGATAGAAACCTTTCTTGAAATTCCATATCGCAAATTACATTTTCCCTTATCGAATTATTTAACTAACCCTCCATCCAGCAATACGAATGTCCAAAATTTTAATTATCCTTCGAGAATTGTAATTCAATCTAGTAATTTCCATCGTTGCTAACGATCGTGTTTCAATTTTGGAAATATCAAAATCTAACCTTCTCCTCTGGTGTAAATAACTAAAACAATTTTAATTAATTTTAAACGATCTACTGCAAATAATTCACGGTAATTCTACGATGTATTAGCAATCGTAATTAATATGATTAAAACGTTGGTCCTTTCCCACCCAGTGAAAATTAATCATTTACAAAGTGCTGGCGCGACACGATTTGCTTGATTCGCTTCATTTATTTAAAATTAGTCGCATCAAAACTCCACCATATTACAAACAACTCTATGTCATTTCCAATTGCACCGATATTCATCAACGTGGATTCGCCGAAACACTCCAAGTTCCTGCGAATTTTACGGTTTTGCAGATATGTCGATGGATCCACGATTATTTAAATACTAAAATCTGGTAAATCGACGTCCATTCCAATTTCAGTTTAGAACGATCGGAATAAAATATAAAATGCATATACCCAACTGTGGAATAATCAAACAGTGAATTTTATATAAAACAGTAATTGGCCATTCTGTGTAGTTGTTTGAGTTTATTTTTCGTATTTTCAAATAGCAATCGTTTTTGTTCTGTGCTGAATAAATCGTACGAAGGGTTGACTTTTTGCGATTAGAATATCGTTGAACTATGGGCAAAAGAATTGCAATCGATAACAGCTTTTTAACTTGGTTGGAAAATATAGGAAATACAAATTGTCATAGAGAAATTTGTTGCTTGATTGATAAATTCAGTTTAATTGGAATATCAATGAAATAATACGATCTATAGAGAATTTAGAGGTTTATTCATACTGGCTTTTTCCAAATTGTTTGGAATATTAAAATTTATGAATGACACCGGTATAATGCATAGAATAAAAATATTAATTTATATTTTCTTCAAAAAATCAGAAATAATTTCAAACAGGTAAGAGATTCAAGATAATAGCCGGTAATAACTATTACGTCGAAATCTTTTCATATCTCCACGTAATTATATTTAAATTAATGGAAATTAATTTATCTTTATCCTTTGACGGATAAAGATGAAAGAATTATATTTTAATGAAAATTCATTGCTACGAAATTTTTCTACAAACGAGTTTCACGTATGTATATCTGAAATTAAATATGAATAAAAATAGCATGCATTCATACGTATGTACAGAAATATGCTCTTACAAATGTAACGAACTTTTCCTAGAAATTGCAAGTCAGCTACTTTTATTGTTTCATTCTTCTCCTAATAACGAAACCTTTTTAAATTGAGATTCGTTTACATCTGAACATGATCATTAAAGGAAACATCGTTTATTCGAACTCTGATATCGTTGCATTCTCATAAATTCGCGGAATTTTTACAGGAAATTATACGTTGATCCTTTACGTTGCTTCGTTGGTTTCCCAATGGCGAAATTATTAATTGTGTAATATGAACAAGAAAATGAAAAAACATTGTCCGTTCATACGCTCACAGAGATACATTTTTATAAAATTACAAAACCCTCCATTTCACTGTCTTATTAATATCCATAGTACGTTATGCTCTTTGTGGACACGAAAATGGAAATGACAAATTTTGATACGTTTACAACCACATGCATTTGGAAACAAAAATGTAGGGGCAGTTTTGTTTACCAGTCGAGTCGCTCTGAAAATCGGTGAATACTTTTTCACTCTCCTAATGTTCTCTTCAATTTCTATTTGCCTTGTAACGAAGTTTCTTGAACAGGATTGACTCTGTTCACGACTGATCAGCAGTGGGATGCTTCTTACCGCGGCAACGATAAAGAAAACTCATATTTCCCTATTATTCTTTCAACGTGAAGGAGTAACAGGTAGAAGTTGGGAAACTACATCGATTCTAATCGCAGTCGAGTTTGTATAGTATGGTCTACGGACATGGACAACGGGGATGGCAGAAATTCGTAGTTGTTTCTTGACGAAAATTGAATTTATAGACAAGGAAGAGATGTGTCGTAAAGAGATAGTGCCATTTTTATTATTGTTGTTATTTCTGTATTTAGAGGTAGGATCGCAATAGCTATTATTTTAGTCTTTGGATAAATCTATCGCACCGTTTTGAGCCGAAAAACCTTTATTACACTTTCTTACACGGACTAAGGATAAAAAATAAAAGAATATCTTAAACCTATCGATCAAATCCCTCGATTATATCTAGTACTATCTTCTAGTTACTATTTATCGTAACTAGCGCATCTGCATATGCATGGCGAGCGCCAACTCACGTTGTCATTTTCAACGATTATCTTTCATTCTTTTCTGTTTTTATCTTGCAATACTACACTTACATACTGGTGGACCGTCGTTGAATCGATCCGATCGATCGATCGGAAAAACTGGCCGGCTGGTTAAGTTCGTTCGTCTCTGAATACAAAATCCAGCAATTCAATTTCCGTGACTGCTTATCGATTGCATGTATCCGCCGTTTCGCTTTTATTCCGTTTAACGCTTGAACAGTGGCGTTCCTCGTCGCGCACGCTCTTTGAAATTATCGTGGCTTAGAGCAAGACTGGTCTTAATGAAACTGGTTGAGAATGTTTGTGATCTCGTGTGTGCGTGTCTCGCTAATCGAGAGAAATCGAGCCGTGCTTCCAGCTAGTATCGGTTTGATTTTCGTGAGATAATATCGGAACTCGGTACAGCGAGTGATTCGTTTACTATCAGAGAGCGACACTTCGTTTAATTCTTCGAGAACAAGGGATATTTTTCAGACGTACCGATACAACTTACGGCAGTAAGTCGTTTGTTTTCGAAACTACGATCACGTAATCTGCGTCGATATAAATGTAAAAAATTGAAAAATCAACGAACAGAAAATTCAACGAGCTTTCACCGCACCTAGATCCAGCTAAGAGCTTCAGCCGTACATTTTTGATCGACACAAGATCTGTGTCCGATGTGCTGGCTATACTGACTGATTGTTTTTACATGCTTGGAATGTCAACATTCAGTTGTTTTGCTAATCATTTGTCACAAGAATGCGCAAAGCTTCGTAACACAACAAAAACATTTGTCTCTGGTTGCTTAAGTCACCGATTCAATCGAAAAACATGAAAACGAGATATCTCGCGACCCGTACGTAACGTGTTAATACGCAAATAAAATTTCTCCAATCGTCTAAAAGCGTGTTATCAACGTGAAAAATTGATCGTTGTCTGGATCTCTCGTTTTCGGCAAAAGATCCGAGGAAAAGTTCGGTTCTGCTTGTCTCGAAACAAGATTTCGAGAGCCGACAGACCGAGGCAGCGGTGGCTGGCAGGTGTCATCGATCGACAAAGGGAAAGTTCAACGAGCTGCAGCGTGAAGTTCGCGGCCAATTTCCCGGCGATCCCGGGCTCACGAGCGAGCTGCGATCTTGCCGTGGCTGGAACACGAAGCTGATATCGCTGCCACCAGTCAGCTTTTCATTATCGTCGCACAGACGTCAACTGCTTCGCTGTGGGATCGAGTGTTCCCTAATTAAGCCGATCGGATATCGCGCTCTTCTTCGTTCCATGTCAACCGCGAGCTTGCCACGTGGCTGCTCGCTCGTTGAACAAACGTCGTCGTTTAACCTCGCGGGAAACCAGCCTTTTCGTCGCCGAAGGATCCTATTTTCTTTATGCAAACATCGCTGTCATGTGTCTTCAGAGTCACGCTGCGTCTTACACGTCAGATTATTCGATATTTTCTTGGATTTTTAGCGAAGGATACAGGCAATCGCCTTACTAGATCGCGGATTTTTCTGCAAATTCATATTTCTGAGGAAAGGTCGGATCCAGGCTGTGATTAGTTTCACTAATCCTATCAAATATTATAGCACTCGTTGTATTTTGAATATTTTATATATTTCTGTGTATTGCATTCTGCGTATTCTACGAATTTTTTGTCGTTAAAATATGCGTAAAAATGATTACGGACTTTCTTAAACAATAATTTGGTAACTGATGCTATTAGAGTATTGATAAATGATAAATTGTGAGTCGCAAACACGAACACTTTTCGGAACTTTATAATTTTGTAATTTGTAGTTGAAAATCGCTGAAGCGTACAAAGTAGAACATTGTAAACTAATAATATTACATCGATACAGACATCGAATTAAATTCTACACGTTCGGTTGATAAATTTCTGAACAAAGT